CTGGCGCGAGACAGTAGACTTCTCCTGTCTTCAGACAAGTACCACAATGTTCAAGATGGACACACACATCCAAGAGCATGAGCACAAACTCGAAGCGGATTTCGTGGTCGTGATGGGCATGCGGGGGAGGGTGACAAACAACATGGGTGTGTTTCTGATCAACAAAATCCTGCACCTGCTTTATATCATTGCGGAAGTCGATAATCAGCATAAAATCTTGCTTTGGAAGGGTGGTCTTGCGACCCTTCCACGTTCTGCTATATGCTATGCAGAGGTTCCACGGACGTGAACTTGTGGACTGAGCATGGCCGACATTAGGTAGATTTAAGGGTTGAGGAATGAAACAGAGGTACCTGGTTATCTAGCCGGCAGCACAGGTTATCACCAATTTTCACCGGGGTCTCGGCCGAGTCTGGACCGGTCTGAGATGGGAACACAGCATCCAATCGGAACCAGGTTCAGTTCTCTGAGGACATTTTCGATGAATGAAATGAATGAAGGCATCAAGGAAGGCAAACTGTCACGGTCTCCAGCTAAAGACCAGTACCAAAAATTAAATACTGGTAGTGGACGACTCGGAAGACATTCGGGACGCCAGATTTTTAGCGCAAGACTCATGGAGCATATTGAGCGCCTCGCCTATATTGTAGATGATGAGTATGGGTGAGCCTCCAGGGGGCACTTTGATCTTACAGCTGTTCCGGAAAACGTTGGCAAAATCCGGAATTTTTACACGCATTGAAAATTTGATGCAGGGGGACGAATGGCTAAAGTGGATGTGCCATGAGTCCTAGCCGGATAAGACCGGCTGCCGTAACCATCATGTAATGTGAGGTGATGGTTGCGGGTTCAAATCCCATGCAACCACCGGATTACAGGCCTGCTAATTTCAGCTCAGGCACTCTCGACAGCATGACTGGTGAAATCCCAGCGAACCAGATGGCGGATCTTGGAATGCTGAGTACCTGTACCACATCCCAAAAAAAAAATGAAAATTTGATGCAGTGATGTGATCTGCCCTGTATAGACTCAGAAACATTGATGAAAGAAGCCCGGGCAAGCCGCGGTGCACCCAAAATGGGTTGTCCTGTTTTTTTTTTGTTAGCCAGAATTTGTATGATCCCAGAAGAATATAAACGAAAGAGGGCAATCTCACGCTGCTGCAGATCGAGTATATCCCAGTCGCCATCACCGTCAGGGTTTTGCAGTGGAAGTGGCATCAACAGATGCACAGTAGTCTGCATGACGTTTGAGTGATGGACCGGTATCTGGGTACACAGGGGGGGGATTGTATGGAAGAGGAGGAAAACGAATGCAGCTGTACTTTGAAGCCATTTTGGGGAGGAAAAAAAAAGTATATTGAGGGATCAGGCGCTGGCACTATGCTAACCATTATGGGGATAAGTCTATACAAGGCAGATCATATCACTGCATCAAATTTTTCAATGTGTAAAATTTTTGGCTTTTGCTAACGTTTTCCGGAATGGCTGTAATCTCAAACCGCCATTCCCTGGTGCCTCCAAATTGACACAGGCCAACTTTCACACGTTAACTCGCAGATGCCCGCCCCCACTTGATGGCTCAAATCAAGACCGCATGCTGACACGAAATAATTTCGAGACCCCTGACCAGCCGACTCCCAAGTGGTTCACAGCGCTCCTGTAACCAAGATCGCAACAGCCACAATGTAAGAGACAGGTCCCTGCATATGCTCGCAATACTAGCTATAGTATCTTGTCACAGGACTCACAAATGCCTTTGAGTTCCATCAGGAATATGCTCCCTGAAAAACTGAACAAAATGAACTTCACTGGATGCGTAAAAAAAAAGCCATACAAAACTCTGAATCGAACATCTCTGGCAACCACCGAGATCGACTTAACTTGGCTGAAACTTGACCTTTTCACTGTCACTGATTACATAAAGGTACAACACACCCTGGGAAGCATTCACACCGTGACTTTGTCAATTTTGGGCCACCCAAAGTTTAATCCACAAAGAAAAAAGTGGGCCAAAATCAGACTTGATACTTATCATTTAAAGGCCGCCAAAGTCACACTGGGGGCAGTGACCAGGGCACTTGAAACCCAAGTGCAATGCATGCATGTTGTCAGCATGTCCATGTGACATTTGACAAAGGCCTTTATAACATGCCACAAAGGCCTTTGTAGTGTTTACATCTTGTATTTACAAAGTACAACTCAGTTTTCAATTACATACAATACTTGTGTCCCGCTCCCACCACACACCCTGCGGTCCTGCCCAAACCCGACCTCACACAGTGACATGTGTGGGAGGAGTGGGGAATGGGTGTTGTATTTAATTAAACACTTAGTTCTACTTTGTTAATATGTGAAGATTACAAAGGCCTTTGTAGCATGTTACAAAGGTCTTTGTTGCATGTCACACAGACATACCGGGCACATGCATGCATTACACTTGGATGTCAAGTGCCCTGGTCACTGCCCCCAGTGTCAATGCCGAAACGATGAGTTTTTTTGTCAAGTTTTGAGAGGACCAAAATGGATCCACTCAATTGAATTGATCAATGCGGCCACGAAGGAGTCCACCGCCAGCATTAGCCCCTCACACTTCTGGATGTTAGCAAAGATGGGGTGCACCCTGAGCATAGGCGAGGGGATCAAACAGCCCACAAAGTGGGTGTACTCCACTCACCATCCTGCCGTAAGCACCTTAACCACCAATGCCTGCACAGCCACATTCCAAATCAGGCCCAAATCCCTTGCTTTGACCAATTGTCGTTGCTGAACATCACCCACCCCTCTCTGCTGCTGTCACTTGCCTGTCATGTCCCACCTCTCGCTCATCATCACCCATCATCTTTAATGTGACACCTCCATTTCAGCAGGCCCCATCATTTCTCTCCTCAACCACCATGGCTAGTTGGCTTTACAACCTGCACGTTGCACAGGGAATCGAGCAGGTGCATACACTTACTCCATCTCTCGAATTTGTCCGATCATCTTGGCTTACCAGACACAAGCATCAGACATGCTTTTCGTGTGCCGTGGATGGCATTGTAACCAAATCAGTCCCAGATGCCCGACAATGAAACTGCATTGACCTTGTGAGACTTGTTTAGAGTCTACACCACCATTTACGCAGGTTGTCAGCGGGATGGTGATTGCTGGATGCCTGCTGGCATCCCACATGTTCCATAAGGGAGATCGGAATAGTGTCCGAGTGATATCAGCTCAGCGTCATCAGACTGAGAATATCCTGAGATTCATGGCATATCTTTCAGACATCCGAGGGAGATCTGGCTCGGCCGCCTTTCCTTCTCGTTATCTATAAATTATACTATAAATATATTGCACTGCCAGTTTGCAGAAAAAAAGCCCATCTTGTATTCTAATAGACATCTCTTTCATATTGTAAAAGACTTCATATGGTTTTCAGCCAAATGCTGAAAATGCTTCAGCGTCATGCAAAAAAATGATCAAGTCTTTGAACCTGCTGAACCAAACAATGCAACATGAAAAGTTGTCCCACTTTAAATTTCTCTTTCTTCCTCCCACCCCCACTCTTCCCTGAGTTCTCCCGGGCCCATTCAATTCCCGTCAAGTTCCATCCTCAAGGTGGCTCAAGCCTTCAAGACCGAATCTAAGTCACACAGGCCTGTTCTCACAAAGTTTTAAGGAGCAAATCACCACATACTCAAGACTCGAGCACATCGTCAAGCCCCCTCACTCCCCTCTGTCCATTAGTTTTTTTCCTTGAGTTCGACTTCTTTACGTTTAAATTACCTTGTTATGTAATAGTCTCTGACCCGAATGCATTTTTTTTTCCAATTCCCAGCTGTATTGCAGAATAAAAATAAATTTATGTACTGTCAGATCAGGAAGTCTGACAAAGATGCCCATCTATACCTGACGGACACCACACCAGATGTCACTGGGATACCCTTCTCGGAGGGTTAACAGACGATAGTCGTTTTTATGACCCTGTGACATCCCAGCTGATGTCCCGGACACTAAGGCCAGGTGGGATCTCCGCCTGATGTCCCCACGAAATGGCGGTGTACAAGCGGGGAATCATCATATGCTTGCCCTGGTGGGAGATAAGGATTGCAAAGTGGTTGCCTGCTGGCAACGACCCTGTTTGAAGGTAGAAATGGATTGAGAATGGGTCAAGATTGGGAGGAAGAATAAGGGCTTCGTAGTTATAAGCCCGTATTCAAGAGTGTAGAGTTATCTGGTGGTCGTCTAGTGCACAGAGCCGCATCTCGGAATGAGTATGGCTTGGCACTTAGTGATTGAAAATGTAGAAATGGTATTGCCTATGCCTCTATCCCAAAGATATTCAAGGACTGTTCAGAGCAACTTAACCAGTAGATATTTAGAGGTGCGATAGTGATGGTTTGTGATAAAGATGATAGATGATTATGTGATATGAGTACATGTCAACTTGTAGCTAAAGAGTATAGTAAAAGGTAAATATGATTCCTTACAGACCTTTTCTCTTCAAATTTGGTTCTCACCCCACATTCACTCAGCACATGAACATGACAACTGGGTTTCATGCAGGTGACCATTGTATGCCCAAGGTCATTAAGAAGGTTCGAGTCCCAGTCATGCTCCCCATGTTGTTTCTGTCCCAATCCACCACTCAGAGGAATCCCAATGGGGTGCCAGATTCGAGGAGATTTCCCTGCCTTCTGACTTCCTGTGTGAGTCGCAGATGGAGGATAACATTGCCTTTGTCTGTTGATCCTGACTCCATCTCAAGCAGATTGAATGTGCATGCGGTCAACTTGAAGTTCAAGGGTATGAAGCTGTCGAAAGAGGGTTTTACATTTATGGGGGGCCGAGTATTTGACATGATTTCTGGTCACGCATTTCTTTCTGCGAACAATCTCTACATTTCCTTTGGACAGGATACAAAATTGCGACATGTGGACATTTTTTTTTTTTTGGTCAAAAAGGAGTTAAAAAAGTGTGAACTGTAAATGTCAGCAACGAAGTCGAAAAAGACCAAGTAGAGAGCTGCAGGACTCGAACCTGCAACCTTTTGGTACACATTATGTGAGCATCGAAGCCAAACACGCTAGCCATTGCGCCAAGCTCCCACACAAAGAAGAGCACTCACATAAATACTAGCCAGAGTTCAAATGCATGGAACCAGTTATCACTGAAAAGCAATGTATGCAGTCTGCAAGCGAGATGAGTATATAACCGAACTGGTTGTTATCTGGACTGGCTCTGAGAGAAGCAACACAATAACTCCTGATCTGGTAGCACCAGCGCCATCACACACCATATAAAGACTTATTTTGACCTAAGTCAAAAGGTAAACTGAAAGTAGATAAATTTATAGTCAAATCAGAATTAGTAGAAAATTGGACTTTCTCTTTGTTGTGAAAGTGCCGCAGAATTATGTGCAATCAGCAGCTGTTTCAGAGGCTGCAATTTTATCCACTATCAGTGAGGTGAGAAAGGACTGCTGAAAGATCTACTATGAACAAAGGAATTTAAGAAAGGACTTCTTTTCTTCTCAATTGAAATGGCTGCTGAAAGTTGATCTTTCAGCAGTCCTTTCTCACCTCACTGATAGTGGATAAAATCACGGCCTCTGAGATGGCTGCTGATTGTTCATAATTCTGCAGCACTTTCACAACAAAGAGAAAGTCCAATTTTCTACTAATTCTGATTTGACTATAGATTTATCTACTTTCAGTTTACCTTTTGACCTAGGTCAAAATAAGTCTTTATATGGTGTGTCATCCTGATTGGGCTACCCCACCTTCCCGTGGATTTGCGCAAAGGATGTCAATCACATCTGGGATCTTTTTGTGCGGGACAGGTGGGCCCTCTTAGTCATAGAACACAGGGTCAGGCTTCCTCTCTGCTGAGATACAAAAGCCCATACCTCCCCTCGCTGCCAGGTATTACGTAAGCCTCGACAAACACGTTAGCATTGCACTAAGCACCCGTTGCGAAGGCAAATATCGATGTCCTGCATGCAGGCGTAGGCGCAGGGGATCATGTGCCAATGGCCAATCGTCACAATTGGTAGTTATTTATCTATGTGTCCCAAGAGCCTCTACCGTCTGAAAAAATAAGATCCCTTGCTCTCTCTTATCCATACCACCTTCCTTTATTCACAAATCCTACCAAACTTCTTCATAATACTCTACCCATGCCTCCCCCCCCCAAAAAAAAAGTACCCTTCCCCCTATTTAGTGAGCTGCAAATGATGGCCTCCTATTTGGCGTCTCCTTGATCTCATCCAAAGAGAAGAGCCCTTGACATGAGCTGACCATACTAAACTCAATACAGGTGGGAAATTAAGTATTTCAACTAGAAGTTTGGACTCTTTCGAAAACAAATCTCTGAGTAATCCAGCATGATTTGGGCCTGTTCTCCCTCAAACCAAGTGGGATATCATTATGCAGAGACCCCACGGTGAACAGGCCTTCTATTACCGGTATATGCCATCACATAGACTGTGTGCAGTTTAACAGAATATATTCACATGAATAAGCACCATATAACTATACTGGAGGCCGTCTGCTCCGTATTTTCACTGTGAACCCATTGTATACTCCTAAAGCATCAATTTGAGGGAGGGGCAGGTGATATACGGAAATGATACGCAAAACCTCAAAATGAAAAAAAAAAAAAAAAGTGTTTGAATTCTGCAAAGGAGGAGGAGGAGGGTGTATTACTGTGGTGGCCACATTGAGTAACATAAAGGTACTGTACCTACATACACAAACCTTCTGAATGTACGCTACAGTCATCTTGCACCTTGTAACAGTTCGACACAAATGCAATGAAATCTTCTCACAAAACTGGGTAGTAAACAGGAGAGGTGAACACATGTGATGCTAGGCAATACTAACCAACTGGGATAAGCTCTGCACTGGATACTTCAGTGCTGTTGCAGTTCTGCAGTGGTCTTCTGATGAGTTGGCTGTTTGCGGCAAAGAAAAAAACTGAGCCATATTGAGTCCAATAATCTTGGGATAGAATGACATCATCGTTTCATTTGAGTCAGTCCTTCACCCAAACATCTCCTACCATCCTGACACGGAAATACCTCCACATCAGGAAAATCTGAAGTTACCACATAGACCATGAGAGCCCAAGAAAGACGCAGATGACGCCATAGCAGAAGCCCGTCTATAAAGAAAGGTGGGAGGGGTGGGAATTGCTGCATAGACGGTCATAGTACCAGCCATGTCTATGGGTACCACCATAGCCATAGCATTCATAGACCTTATAGCACTCATATCTCTCGTAGTGAGCGTCGTTTGGGTTTGTTCTGGGTGCCGCTTCATAGCAATATAGACCACCATATCACACAATTCAGATGGGGAGCAAGCAATGCATTATTCAGACTACCTACGCATGACTACTGACTACTGGGGCAAATTGGGTGCACGACCAGAGATGTTGGATCGAAAAATAACTGAATACTGGGTGTGTAATATATAAACCTGGCAGGGCCGGCGCACGTGAGCAGCAGAACAATAACCAGATAAATCACGAACATGCAGCGACTGCAAGGGCAGTTATACCGAGTAATTTGGGCGGGGCTAACGACGGAATAGAGCACGTGCAATCACTCGACAATCGCGCAAATGTCCGAGAGGGAGGAGCAATGCTTGCAGAGGAGCGGTACAAATAAAATGAACGGGGAAGATAGACAATGCGTGCTTGAGGAGTGAGTTGCGAAAGCTAGGGGTGGTGGAACAAGAGCTTGAGGATTTGACGACGCGGGCTTGAGATTAACTTGAGGCTGGAGAGGCTCGACAGCGAGGTTGGGCTTGACGGCGTGTTTGAGTGTCTTGACAGCACTTCAGGCACTTGACAATGCGTGGGAGCTCGAGCTTGAGATGTGAGAAGCTTGGGGATGTAGGAGGAGAAGGGATGTGGGACGGCGTGCGGAGCTTGAGCTTGCTTGAGTTTCAGACGGCCGAGGCAGGGAGACTGGTGCAAGGGAGGCGAAGGCAGAGGAACGGTGGGAGGCAGAACAGGCACGGGGGCAGAGGAGACGAGAGTGAGGCAGGAGCAAGGCAGGAGGCAGGCAGGAGGCAGAGGGAAAGAGACGACAGGATCAACTTGCGATCAATCTGCCAACACACGTCGTCAACGCGCACGGACCAAGCACGTGCGTCTCTACTGGCCTTAACACATGTCCTCACCATGCGACGACACAGATGACGACCCTTTCCCCCGTTCCCCTCACCCACGCAACACAGTGCTGCCTCCTCAGGCTTCACTCGCGTGTGTCAAGCTCGTGCAGGTTGCCCACGCACCTGCAGACAGGAACAACGGGCCCACAGGGGTACAAGAGCGACGTCGGGCACAAAGTGTGAAGTTTGAGTTTTTGCGAGCTCAACGTCGCCGCGTTGAGTCTCCATGGAGGTAGTTTGCCCAGGTGGGATAAATAGTACGCTTTCAACACAAAGAAGCTGGGGTGAAGCACTTTGTCTAAGTGTGTGCTTCCTCTCCTACTTGCCTAAACAGTTGTATTGCTGATACTTGGCTTGCAGTGCTGCATGACCCGGGGACGTACATATTACCCACAGTGCCAGTGCGTGCTTCCTCTCCTACTTGCCTAAACAGTTGTGTTGCTGATACTTGGCTTGCAGTGTTGCACGACACGGGGACGTACATCGGACGCGTGATGTATGTCACTCGGGAGTCGCCCACGCCGTGCAAACTCGAGGTGGGGGACGCGAGGTGTTTGGGACGGAGCAGCGCTTGGATGATGTGCTGCTCCAATGTTACTATTATAGACACTTATAGACTCCGATAATGGATTCCCGTACCCATAGACCCCCATAATGGATCCCCGTATTCGTCCCGTATTCATAGACATAAAAGTAATGGCCCGAGATCTATAGACCACCGGAGTGCAACATAGACCCCCATAGACTGGTGGGATGTCTTTATAGCCCACCATAGATCAATATAATGGCCCTTGTGTCTTCATAGAATTTCAGATTTTCCTGATGCAGTTACTGAGGCTGCATGAATCTTGGAATATAGGGAGCCTCTTGACCAGCCAAAACCCTTGTAATTCATTTGTGTGGATCTAGGGATCATCAGCATGTCCAGGGAATTTTTGGAATCAACACATCCATGTACTCAGACTCCAATCCACATTGCAAAAGCGCCGACTCTAGGACTTTGACCACTGCCATTGATCCTAATGTTGATAATTGCCAGCCATGGAGCTGTGTGTGTAATCAGGTCAAATATAGCTTGAGAGCTTCATAACCATCCCAATATCAAATACAAAATCACAGCCAATTGTTATCGAGACAGAGATTCTTTCTTTGTGGGGCCATATCAATATGTTTCAAACCTGAGACCGATTTGAAGAAGGGAGAGGGTAGAAAACCTGGGTTCTTCGGTTTGACATTAGGGGAGCTTAGAGTAGAGACACTGGAGCGCTGGAACACTTATTGTCAGGTGATTTCCACGCTGTCATATCAGTGAATTCTGTCAGCGTGAGATCCATTTGCATTATTGACCTCCCTTCACGCTCATTGTCGATGACATTGAGGACAAGGTTGAGGTTGTAGTTGGAGTGGCAGTTTTCAATGGGGGCCAGGAACTATTGACAAAGAATAGAGATTAGTGGATAATCTGACTTTGAAAAGATCTGAACTCGATATCTATGTTGCCTAAAAATACCTGCCAACATTGCCCGACGTGCATTCCCGAAGTGGCGGGACATTGGCGCAATGTTGCCAAATGTTTCAGCATCTGTGATGTGATGCTGCTTGGACCCGGCAGAACAACCGAAAGTCACCTGACGACAAGCGTTCCAGCACTCCAGCGTCTCTACTCTGAGCTCACCTACTGAACCATCTTGTTTGGATCTTTCAAACCAAAACTTGCTTTTAAAAATTTAGAGGTTGTTATGAAATTAATAATGAAGTTTTACTGTGGAAGGATTTAACAGTATAAATAATGATCTTCTATATATATATTTAAAACAAGATTATGTTATATACCGAGCCAGATAGACCAAGGACCAAAGGATAAAGGCCGGAGGACCAGAGGCTCCAGTAAGCCAGAGGGTCAGAGGGCCGGAAGGTCCGGAGCGTAT